GGACTTGATAATTTGTTACATCTACATTTGGACCTAAACTAAGGTATTCAGATTAATTGTACATGTTTGTTGGTTTAGAGTGTATATATCACTATTGAGGGTAGTTTATTTTACCAAAAGTTGATCTAAAACCCTAAAAAATATTTAAACATACTCTGAACACATTATTGAGGTCCAAATGTAGCTGCAACAAATTCGTATATCGCTGTGCTTATAGGTATTGATGGTGCAGAATTAACAGCGCCAATTGATCATGACCAATGCAAATGTCAATATATACATAACCATTGGTAAGCGAAAATGTCAATACTATAAGTCCCCACAGAGAAAATTGCCAGGTGTCAAACTTTACATATTTATGATATATCCCCTACTTAGGCTTGGAACTAATGTTGTTGTTGTTGTTGTTAGACTTACACAAGTGCCTATCTCAAGAATTATGGTCAATTATATTTCCAGTTTTTAATTAAGTAATACGTATACACCGCCAACAACATTACCCCTAATGGTGCCCCACACTGCATTCTAGTATGTGTTGTTGCCAAAATATACACACAATCAATCATGTAACCAGTTTGGCAGTAAATAGTTTTGAAACGATAACCTACCCGATAGTTATCTCACTGTAAAGCATTCAACAACCGGGTAACGTTGGGTAATCGTCGCCGTACGCGTATTATCATCACTATTCGTGTTAAGTTATGTGACCTATTTACCTGTCAGTGTCAAGCAACGGCTATGAAAGGTCGGAATCAATATTTTGTCTGTTTCTTGATGTGTGTGCTGAATTTCTGTGCAACCCTCTTGGCTTGCCTCGTTTTTAAGGTATTTAATCTCTCTCTTTAGCTACTTTGCCGTCTCCGTCACGAAGTCGCTTCGCAATGTTATATTATTTCTCGGAAAAACGCATGCGCAGTACTACTCGTACGAGACTTAATATATGCAATACAAACGCAATTATTAAATATGTTATCAGACACTTTTAATTAGTGTTATTAAGAGAAAGTGTAAGTTTTGTGACATATTTTCTGAAACGACACTTTTTATGATATTCTTGAACAGTTATTTTTACCAATATAGTACCTACTAACGTTTATTGAATATCACACGGCTAAGCTAGCCGTTAAAACATGACAAACAATACGTACATTTATAACAGTTGTATATATTATAAGACAGAACAAAACCTACAGTGTAGAGAAAAGAATGTATGTTTAGTTAAGCTATATATATCAGCCCCACGTGGTAAAATAAAGCCTATAGGTAACTGTAACTATTTTACGGTGAAAACCACAACCTCCCGGAACACTGACATACGTTAAGATAACAAACCTTAAGCATACCCTAACCTTCCCTAACTTGGATGTACTGCTTTCAGTACATCGGTAGCACTGTTTTCAGCGCCTCGTTGGACGGGTTTTTCCATCCTGGTATACCCGCCTTTCCGGCCACGCACGTCCCCGTTTTTGCCCGTTCATCCCCTTTAATACCCTAGCCTCCTGGCCCTATTTAACATGTATCGGGCACCTATTCTGATTGGCTTAATATATGACGTATGCGCAGAGAGCTCGGAAGCTCTTCCGGTTACTCCCCAAAATCCGGTCGTCTCAAAAGTAACCACCCATGTAAACAAACAGACTGCACCAGTGATATCGCTACAAACGATAATAGCCCTACCGTACCTTTAGTTACACTAGGATGGCAATGACGAGAAAGGAATAAAACACATTTAGGCTAGCAACCTGTTTTCCCATAGTTACATTTTACGTTAAGGAGACCAACCTTATTGTGATGCATGTGATCAGCCATTCAGTCAAACATTTAATGATTGAATGCGCTGATTTCAGACATAAACGTGAAAGGATGTATAATGTATCGTCTATGAAAAATGTATTTGATACAATTTCTGTGCAATCAATACGATTATTGGCGGCCTAATCGAGTGGTTAACATTCCGGCCTTCCACGCAAGCGACCGGTGTCCGATCCCTGAAGTCGTAATACGCATGTGTCTTCATAGGCACCCGTCCTCATACAACCCTGACTGTTGCGAGGACGGTAAACCACAATCAAACAAACATTATCAAAACCGTATAATGAATAAGGCCCAAGACTACGTACATTTGACAAGACCCCATCGCATTGAAAAAAGTCCTCGACGTGTCATTATCAAAAAGCAACAGAAATAAATTTGCTGATAGTTGCAGCGAATAGCTTAACCATTAAGCCTTTATATACATTATCCATTAGCAAAGTGAAGTGATATTTAAACAAAACGTGCACATTTGTAAGGTTTTGGACAAAATAAACTGTACCAGGGCTATTGACAAACAAACTACCGACTACGTTTCAATTTTTTGTTTGCTTTGGTTTATATTCAGATAAAGGAACTTATGACATATGCCAGGATATTGAATCAAAATGGCGGCTAAAGGATCGGCTTGAGTGTGGGATTTGAGCTCGTTCCTTTTTGAAGCATAAAGTGGTCGCGTAAAGTGACATTAACATGTTTTTATAACCCCCGGATAAGGTGTAGATTTCTCGAACGTTACTGATAACTGTACGATTCAAAGCAGGATACAGTCACTAAATATATTAAACTTTTTTTTTTTTTACAATGTAAATATTCCAAATTATTGGATTTATACCTTTGCCAATTTAACATGAAAATATGCGTTTACGGTAAACATACTTATTTCAGTTTACTGAAATATTCATTGTGTTCGTAATGTTAATTTTTAACATATTAGCGTATTGATGAATTGGACACCCCAAAAATTTACGATAGAAAACATCATACAGTGAAGAGAATTGTCACCTGACCGGAACACATAATCCAAGTTATATTTGCATGTGTACTCCCAAGTTTATTTACTACTCGTATATTATATACAACATTCCCTATCTAGTCCGAACAACACAGCTAATTCCTTAGTTAATTTACCCGCAGCTAAGAACACTAAAGACAGACCTAACACGTCTATACCATTTATTCTCCATCGACCATCAATATCTTTATATTTCTCTCTACCTCTAGCTTCTATTTTTATTTCCTACCATATTGTTTGGCAATTACTCACTTTTGGTTTTAATGTTGAACGTTCGCCCAGGTGAGGAAGACAATGGGTTCTGTACCAAAACTAGGAAATAGCGAAGTCCAAACAAATGATAGTTGTTATTCCCTGCTTAACGCTCAGCATTTAGGGTAATGACAACAACTGGTTCACCCGTTGTCAGTATTGTGTGACCGGGCGGTATTTCAGTGAGATAGCACTAAAGTCGATGTCAGATCTGCGCTTATGCAAGGTAGCAAATACACAAATATACTGCTTCAAGCGCTCACACACACATTCAAGTTTGTTTATTTCCTTCAGCTATACAGCTCACAAGTTGTGCATATATACAGTGCAACGTGAAGTAAACAATTCAACAACAACACATATACACATCGCCTCTGCACGTACTCCTAGAAGTGAAGAGAGAAAACTTGCACTGCTAACAAATAATACTTAATAATATATAGTATTTTATGATGAGGACATATTAATGTATTTCTGACAAGCACTAAATACAATTGATTCAAACAAATTTTGTCCTCTACTAGAAATTCGTACATATTTGGCCAAATAAGCCATGCCTGTTCCACTTACTGTGGACAACAACTTGATAAATTTATACATACTTGTGCGACTGATAAAGTAAGGTTTAATAAATGGAATGCGTTAATTGGAAAAATGCACAATTAAGAACAAAGCGAAATTTATCTTCTACATCATATAAGACGCATAACAAACATATATTCCTATTAACAGCGAAGGTCCGTCATTTAATGACGTGCCTCCATGTGTGTTTTGTATATGTGTGCCGGAGGCAGGGTATGTTGGACAAGATGAACGGATCATAATTCATAACCGATCAGGTAATAAGGGGAGTGTCGCGAGACTGTTTACACTCGCTAGTTAAATCGACCCTAAGCAGGAGAGTAACTTGAACAGACTAGAAATAGGTTATTTTAGTACTCGGGGTGTCGGCGGGTATTTTGTAGACTGGCGCGGCGTGGCGTGCCGCGGTCGCCGGGTAATTGGCGTTTAACACTACGGTGGCTAGGAATAGCCGGCGCAGCGCGTTTAGGTTGTTTGAAGCTTGGCCACGACCACAGTGACGGACGGGGCATCGTTTTCTACAGTACTCATGTCGCATGTAGAAATAAACACATACACCTGTGTATCATGTCCATATTCCATTTATTCATTGTTCATGTCACAAAGGCATTTGTCTGAAATGTATCTGTACAAACATTCAGTTTTCTCGCCGACATATCATACATATATAAAGTCATGAGAAAATAATCTAAGATTGATTAGCGAATAACATTTTGACAATAATTCTCAATAAACAGCTTGATAATTATAACACTCATACAGCTGTAATTGTTCATTTACAATTGGTGCATACTATAGATTACGTGTCGATATTGCCATAAGTTACAATGAAGGACAGTATGTTGTAATACGATAAGTTAACAGTAATCACAAATAATTCATTCACTATGAACAGTATAACTCACCCTAGGGAAGGTTTGGAGTAATTCACGAATTCACTGTTTTCCTACATTGCGTAATATCGAACAGCCTGTGGTAAACAAATACAAGCGTTCAATGACACGTACCAATACACATATCTACATGATTGTAAAATACAACATAATAAAATTGGCTAATCTCTGGGATTCGATCCCACGACTAAGAGGTACGAGTAACCTGACGATTACAGGGCCACGACGTTATCCATTACGCTACTGCACATACTATGTAATGAATATACTAATAGACACTTACAATGAGCTACATGCATATATATATATAATTGAAAACAGATATACATTTGGTAGCGCACACAAATATAGAGTTGAAACTAATATACCAAATAATCTAAATAAATCCTGCAATTAATACTCCGTATTCTTATACTCAATCATAAATATATAGATATATTACTCACGTATTTCTTATATTCCTTGTCGGGGATCGGTGAGCTTTAATATATTCCAATTACATTTGTACGTCCGAATGACCAGCTGTCTAATCTGAAACTGCTCACCGCTAACCAGGAATTTACTTTTGAACTGACCGCTTGATTGTGATTGGCCGAAATAGTTCGTAAATGTCCGTTGATAGAAATTTTAATCATTATATATCTGCGATGTAATTAATCAACGTAGCCAATTAAAAAAATCATAAACAATATCTATAAAACTAACTAGTAAAAATAACATTAATATAGTGTTAACGTACTTATATGTCACGTTATCGTCACGTGATCCAGACAATTACGGAATCTACGTACTATATTAATAATGTACATTACAGAATAGGTAACAAGTAAATACAGAGCGTGTTCAATCCACAATGTTACACTCAAAACCATATAATTTTGTAATAATACCCCTTAAACTTTTACTGTTGTTTGGTTTCATTTCAACTTCATCCCTGGACTTCACCAGCTGGAGGTATTCCACATTACATAACCTTTGTCCGTGAGATTGTGACTGTCAACAACCATCAATACTAATTGACTGATTCATTAATCTGATTGATCCTATAACCATGATTATATACTATAATTATATACTATACACATCTAAATTACTATATGGGCAGACTATAAAAATATGCAAGTCACATTAATTATTTACTTTCAATCGTATGAAATATTGCTACACCTTTCCTCTAATAATTGTAAACAAAGTGTAAACTTATCAAAATTATAAATAGCAGCCTTACTAATTGTGTGTTTTCGTCTACAATGTTGCCATATCTTATAGTATACCTGTTTTTGTTTTCCCTTTGTTTAACGTCCTATTAACAGCTAAGGCATGTTCTCTTTGGTCCTTCTGTTCAAGATACACCTGTCACCTGTCCATAATGAGAATGCATCCGTCATCGACAGTATTTCTATTTATGTAGTTACGCAACTCCTATACAAAGTACATTTGTCATCGCGGGCAAGAACATATGACATTACAAGGTTTAAGTTAATGAACAAGATTCTCGTTTAGAATTATTTCTAACGTTGGTTTGGTTTGGTTTAAATTTGTTTACCGTCCTATCAGCAGCTTAAGTCATTTAAGGACGTGCCTCCATGTGTGTTGTGTATGCGTGCTGATTGGGTAATATTACCTGTAAGGAAAATGAAGAGCAAAACAGGTAATTTATCATCCTTTGTAGATATGATAAAGGTCCTGTAATGGTGGGCGCCAAGATCCTTCCATGATCTCTTGTTTGTACGTTGCTATATAAGATGATTTATGCATTGAATATACATGTATTTTTTTTTAATTAGCGTTTGATCTTTGTGGTACTTTTGTCCTACGTCGATAAGAATAATTGATTATATATTTAGACTGTTTTTAAAACCTCAACACGGCTATTTGTAAATTATTCACATCTTGACACCAAGTTGATCCAAAACCCGCCAAACGTCAGTATTTTAAGATGAAAATGAACAATAACACGGGATCTCCTTAAACTTCGGATATCCATATAATTAAGAAGATTCGTGTAAATGGATGCAGATAAATAAAAAAAGTACATTTCCAGGTATCATAGATACAACTCATCACTGACGATAGGTAGCATTACTTGTGACACAGGGAGGGATGGCTACACAGGTATGACTTCTGATATCTTGTCTAATCTATGACTCGGGCGTAAAAAACATCTATTTAAAAGGTTTGCCCACACCTGGCCCACGGCATCTTCTTGTCAAAACAGCGACGAGGAAAGCATGACAACTTTACAATTTCTGCTTGTCGTTGTGAGTATATATGTAACCATTTAAATATTTGAAAAAAACAGTATCATGTATATTGTCATCAATGAAATGTGTTAATGAATACACGTATTAATGCCATATTAATGACTTCGCCAGGAAATATTTTTACAAGTCAACGAATAAAAGATAGCAGCGTTAAATATACAAACCTGGGTAAAATAATGTACTATAATATATTCTAACTGACTTATCAACTATTATATATTTACCCTCAACAGGTATATACAAATGATGTAAAAAAATATATTAAAACTTTACACTGACCTTTTAACTGATGCTATATTTACTCTCATCAGGTAGCTATGACTTAAAAGTTTATTGTGTCATATTGGAATGCATATACAAAGGGGCCGGTTTTGTTAAAGTGATCATGCTGGTATTCATGTTGATCGATTGTAAAGTTTTAGTTTTAACAAAATGTCATATTTACATATACAGCAATGGTTGCATATTGATATCAATATTGCGTTTAAAGTGATGTTTCATTGATTTGGGTTATATATGCAACATGCATTACAAATGTTAAATACATTGTGAAACTTCTGGAAGTGGAGGTTGACTTAATCAAATGAAGCATTGCACACAAAACTTTCTAGAACGACACTAACATTGCATACAAAACGAATCAATGTATCATTTAACTCTTTTGACGAACAGTGCTAATAAATCAGTTCATTAAAAAAAATCACTTCAGCAAGAAGAGGAAGGAAAATTCCCGCTATCTCACTTCTGTTTTGAAGCTAAATGATAAAGCTAAATAAGAAAGCTAAATAAGAAAAACGCCGCTACACTTGTTCACAGTTAATGCTTTTCAATTCAGTTGAAAATATTATACTTTCTCTCTCTCTCTATATATATATACATCAAGTATGATGCAGACTTTTGTAGCTAGACATTAAACGTTCATTTTTATGTAACAAAACGCAATAATAAAATGTATGCTCTTTTTTTTTATCTCTTTACGTGTCTTTCCATCATAGTATTGTTATATTATATAATGAAGTAAATGATGATGGACGATTTTTACCATCTCTAAGTGGATCTACATGAAGGTCGTCATATCCATATGAATAATATATATTTTTTGTTTACATACTTATAATAAAGTTAGTTGGTTGGTTGAATAGGGTTTAACGACCTATCAACGGCTAAGGTCATTTTAGGAGATACCAAAGTCTTTAAAAATGGTAGTTGTTATTCCCTGCTTATCGTTCATCATTTGGGGAAATGACAAAAACTGGTTCACCCGTTGTCAGTATAATGTGACCGGACGGAATGCTGTGCTGGGTGCCTTCGGCATGGTATTTCAGCGAGATAGCACAATAATGTCGGCATCAGATCTGCGCTATCACAAGGAGGCAAGCACATCAACATATTCTGCCTCCGGCACACATACACACATGTACGCTTACACATCACACATGTACGCTTACACATCACACATGTACGCTTACACCTATACACATGTACGCTTACACATACACACACGTACGCTTACACATCACACATGTACGCTCACACATCACACATGTACGCTTACACATCACACATGTACGCTTACACATACACACATGTACGCTTACACATCACACATGTACGCTCACACATCACACATGTACGCTTACACATCACACATGTACGCTTACACATCACACATGTACGCTTACACATCACACATGTACGTTACACATCACACATGTACGCTTACACATCACACATGTACGCTTACACATCACACATGTACGCTTACACATCACATGGTCTTTAAATGACCTTAGCTCTTAATAGGACGTTAAACAATATGAAATCAAACTAAACCATTTAGGGACGTGTATCCATATGTGTTGTGTATGCGTGCATGTGTGTTTATGTGCCGGAGTTGGGGTATGATGGTGTATTTGGTTCTTTGTAATACCTGCGATTTGATGCCGACTTTATAGTGCTTTATCACTGAAACTTAGAACTGATTTAAAGTAAACGTATCCATTCTGAATAGATATATTTTGCTAGGTTGAGTCAAAACAAAGTATATATATATATATATATACACACCATCTGTGTAGTTCCTCAAATGTTGACGTTAAAGTGCACTGCTAATTTTGGCGTCAATTTTGGTAGGTTGTATTGTGACGTCATAATACATCATGACGTCATCACTTCCTGTGTTGTATTGTACTCTCAACATAAATAAACAGTTCCCTGATGAACCCCTAAAAAGGTGAACGCGCTAGGGAGGTACAAAGAAACTAGAAAGAAGTATTTGTTTATATTTATATATATACATATATACTGAAAGGATAAAGACAAGCAGGGCAACAGAATATGAAACACTTATTTTACTGCTTGGCTTAAAATTATGAAAACCGATCAGACGAGTATCTTGGTATCTGTGCACTCCAGTCGGTCTCTAAAGCTACTCAACCATGTAATGTACCGTGCCATATAGTGAAAGTGTTAAACTGCAAAAGACACGTGCAGAATAATGATGATAAGTTCGTCAACACATCTTGTCATTCCACTTGATGCTCCTGAGGTATACACACCGCTTTCCACTATTTACTGTCAATTTGAATCTCTTGCAATCATGCTACGGCTGACGGAAGTTCAGAGGAGTCAGGCTATTGCATTGCTAATGCAAGGTAAAAGGCAACAAAAGATTGCTTTTGAAATTGGTGTGAATTTTTCCACCATAGAACGTATTGTCCGTCGTCTGAGAGACACCGTGAGGTTTGCCGACCGACCGCGATCGGGACGTCCGTGCGTAACAACGTGACGACAAGACAGGATTTTTCGTCTTGCCCATCTGCGCAATCGCCACGTTACTGCCACTGTAACCGCTTTTAATACGAAGGCAATCGTAATTGCCACATTCACTCCAAAACTATAAGGAACCGAATGCGCGAGATTGGTGGCACATGCTCCCAGACGATTTCCAATGAGGCGATGGAGACGGATCTTTTTCAAGACTGAGTCCCGAATCACTCTTTTTCATCCGGACGGTCGACGTCGTATACACCGACGTCATGGAGAATGCTTCGCCGACGCTTGCGTTCTGGGGAAGGATAGCTTTGTTTGTTGTTTTGTGTCATTAAAGACTGCCTTGTTGGAAGAGTGGAACAATATCCCCATGAGAAGGATAAATGCACGGATAAACTCCATGCACAGGATAATTAGGGCTGTGACAGATACACTAAGCGGGCATACGATACACTGGCGAGTCAGTCGGTTTCGCTTTGCGATATTGGGGGTACCGTCAAATGTGCTTCAATTACTCATGAGTTATCGGTCAAAATATGATGATACTTTTGTAATTTGTTTATTAATGATGTTTTTTTATACACATTTAAATTATTTTATATAACGTTCAAATACATAACATTTCATCACCTCAGATGTTTACCCTGCGGTTTTTCTTTCTTTCAGTATATGTCATTCATACCACATATTCCACACGTATAAGCTGATATGTTATAATGCCCCAAAACTGTGGGAAAAGCCCAACTATTAAAGACACGGAAAATGCAACATTTTCCATGTCAGTCATTATTACTGATTAAATTTTCTAACCAATTGAGGTATATTTTGTTTTTACTTCAGTTTTCACTAGGATGTGCTGTTGCGGTATCTCAAACCGATGTTACAAGTAACATTACATATGGTAAGTACACATGACGATATTTGAAAGATACGTTTCCAGAAGTTTATAAGCAATGGAACTTAGTGGTATATAATTATTGCATAGTTGTATAAAGCAAATCAATCAAAAAAGTTATTTTCTGATGATATTACTACAAAACATTGAACATTGAAATTAGCCGTCCCGGTTGGTCATGTAGCATCACCGATGAGTCCTAGAACAATGGAAGATTTTCAATATATAAGATAACAGGTTTTAAAGATGCTGTCACATTTGTGTATGATTTACGAGCATATTAAACCCGTATTTGTATTACCGATCGCATAGGGGTGGGGCCCAATAGGAAAATTTGAGGTTTAAATATTTAGACATTTTATCAATATTTGGCCTGACGCGTCCTTTGGCAAAGGGAAGTCAATTTTGTATAAATGGAAGATGTGGCCGCTCTGGATGCAACGAAGCGGGTAACCAATAGGAGAATTTGAGGTTTACTTAATTAAAATCCTTCTTTTTCTGTATCATTAGAGGGGTTTTATCCAACATTTGGCCTGGAGCATTCTTGGGCAAAGGAAACTAAATTTTGTATAAATGGAGGATGCGGGCTTTCTTGGGGCGGAGCCAAATTGGAGAATTTGAAGTTTAATGAAGTAATTATATACACATTTGGCCTAAAGCATCCTTGAGCAAAGGATATACAAATTGAAGGTATTGCCCCTCTGGGTGCAGAGGGACGGCGCCCAATATAGGGGAATTTTAGGTTAAATATTCAAAATCTTACATCTTCTGTACTATTGGAGGGATTTTATCCAAGCTTGGCCTGGAGCATCCTTGGAAAAATTGAGCAATGTTTTTATAAACAGAGAGTGTGACTCCTCTGGGGGCAGAGGGGCAGGGCCCAATATAGAGGAATTTGACGTTTAAATATTCAAAATCCTTCTTCTTCTGTACTAGTGAGGTAATTTTATCGAAATTTGACCTGGAGCATCCTTTAAAGGGAGAATGTGCCCTTTCCCAATTTTCATTTTGTGTAGAGCATCATTTTGTAAAGGGGACGCAATTTTATATAAATAGAGGGTCGCTTTTAACGGGCAGAAAAAAGGGACCTAGAGAGGGACGAGTGTTGCTGGGAGACAGAGCCAATATTTTGAAATAGTTGTTAAAAGAATAATTTTCTATGATTACATTATTATCTCGGTGAGCGATAGAGGCCCTCTTGTTACAAAGATGCGTCTTCTGAAATTAAAAAAACCCACATACTATATGAAAGAGGAAATTAATGTTTTTTTCAAATCGTTTTGTAAATCAAATAAATATAAATTTGTTAATCGAAATCTTATTTTGATGAGTATTGGCAGATTTTGAAAATAAAACTTCTTTTAATAAAATACCAAAAACATCGGACAGTTTGATAGATATAACAAATAGGTATTAAAGTGTTTCTGTTTTTAGATAACATATAAAAAACCAGATATCACCGAACCAAATTAAGCTAGACTGTCTGTGTTATTGGAAAGGACAAGATTACGATATATATATATACACTGCCTGTAGTAACTTAATTATTTTACTTCAAGGCAAGGATCAAGGTATTAAGAGCTTCGACGTAGTTCTGCTGCTGGGTTATAAAACCCGAAACATCTACCATTGGTCCTATGACCTTTCCCTATATCATGTCATTGTTGTTGGGTAGATAAACTTTTGTTTTAACAGCGTTTAAAAACGCTTTGTGATGCCTGGCAAGTATACTATCCGGACACTATGACTACAATCTGACATGCGTAAAATTCTAACACTTGAATTAAATAAATTAAATGACAACGTAATTTTTGCAGCCAAGATTTAACTTTTTGTTTGCATGACCCTGACATATAAAAGTAAATGTTTTTTAATAAACGAAATTACAATCAAGACCGCACATCCATTTTGTGTATGTCCTCGAAAAATGTTGATCATGGAGCGCACTGGCAAGATTTACCAGGGTAAAATGTCCTTTGTCTCGACGGTCACGTGGTTTTTACTAGGTACGCAAACACTGGTGCAAAAGGAAGGGGGTACCCGTGGACATAGCGATCTAGCTATTTGTGAAAGCAAGTGTAACATAAGCACAAAACATGAATGTTATCTGAAACTAAATGGTGCTAATTTTGAAGAATTCTAAAAACATTTCTGCCAATTTTGCATATCGGTTCATGAAATGACTATGTAAATGTTTGACTTTAACACTTTATAAATATACTACCATTCCATTTCTTATATTAATATTCCAAAAAACATATATTTAGAGCAATAAAACATTTATGGTTACTGACCATTCCGATATACCCCGTTTCCTGCATACACACACGCACGCACGCATACACTACACACATGGAGGCACGTCCTTAAATGACCTTAGCTGTTAAAAGGACGTTAAACAAAATTAAACCAAACCAAACCTGGCCATTTTTGGGCATATTTATTTTGTCAACAAAACACGACAAAGGCAAGAAAGAAGATTCAATCGAGAGAGTTATTGAAGTTTTCGTAGACAAGACCATTCGTCAGTTGAGTGGTAGTATCTTCCAGCAGATTATTGACACACCCTTTCCTAGTCCTTCATTTTCACTTCCACGTATATCTTTGACGTCAGGATAAGAAAAATCATTACCATGTTGGTCTAAAAAGCCATCCTTAACTGCAAATTGAAGACATTTCAGACTATACTTGCAACATGACTATTATGGACGACTTCTTACTAAGCTGTTTGATAAATCACAATTTTCTAATATGATCGCGAATATTTCTTGATTGTAATAACCTTGATTTACCCAACTGAAGTGCTTTGTTGTTGCGGTTTGTTTGGTATTCAAGAACTCTTTCAGAATATTGCAGGTTTTTTTGAGGGCGTGACATTACTTTGATTTGACTTAGATTTACTTTGCGGGTTTCGCCGATGTATCAGAGGACTCCGGAATATAAAAACAAACTCGAGTTATTGTGCAAAATTGTTTATTATTATAGCATCATTTTTCTTCAGTCATGAAAACGCAACCCCTTAGATATTACTTTTTTTCCAAATGGACTGCAACTTTTCCCTTTGTGTATATTTGCCCTAGTCTCATCGATTACGAGTTTGAATCATAGATTTCCTCTCACTTCGATATTTGACAAATCATATTCAAAGTAAGATTCGGATATTTATTCCGTACAAGATATGCAGTCGCAACGCTTAAAGCAATAATTTCATTAATCATTTTGTATTTTTTCAAGTGGTCTGCATGTAACCTTTTCTTTCGTTGTGAATATTTTCCCAATCGTCTATGACAGTTTATTTGATACGGGTTCTATGCGATTGATATATGATCATTTGTACTCAATCGATCTTTACGATAAGATTTGATGAATTTTATAACCAATTCGTTCGCTATTGATGTATCTTTTTACCCTTCTAAACTTATTATTTTTTGTTAGATTTATACATTTTTGTCAATGTCTGTCATTACCATGTTGCTTGGCCCAAAATGGCTTATATTGTTGATTAGCCGAAGTAGAACACAAAAAACAAAACAAAAACAAAGGGCCCGTTTCCAGTAATAGGAGCCTGCCCCCGTATAATTTCTTATCTAGCTCAACTACTGTTTTTTTCTTTTCCGAAGAATAATTTTACACCTTTCCGACACCCAGATTTCATAATTTCAGTGAAAATGTATTTTTATAAAGTTGTCAATTTCAGCATCAAAGACATAAGTTCGTAAATAAAAGAAGGTTATCTCGAAATTGTAATTCGCAACATAGTATAAATTTCTTTTGATAAATATTTCCAAAACATCGTGTTTATTCATAAAACATAAAAAAAAAAATTCTCGGATGAAAATGCACTTGCAGAGACACAATTATGAAGAAAAATGCCATAAAATTGCAATTTTCTCCCGTTATATAGTTTTGGATGCAAATTTCCATCAGAAAATCGGATAGAGCTTTACTTGTTTCATATGTGTACCAAAAATCAGCTAATTCCATGTGGTGGAACGTTCTCATATCGCCGCCTGAATGTGGTTGTAAATTGAAAGAAAAGGGGAAATGAGTAACAACCTTGTCTGAAACCCTATTATATAGCTTATTATATACAAACTTTTATATTGAATATCAGAGCGGATATTTTCATGACAGTTTTATGATGTGTAACGACTAAATAAACAGTATCGATATAAAGATTTACACTGAGGACACCCTGATACATGAATACTGTTCTATCTCAAGTTGTCCTCTTCTGAATTTTCTGATCGTGTGGCCTTGTACATTTATCCGTATCTTCTTGTCTTTGTCTATACGTTTACGGAATCATTGACTCGACGCTAGCTATTCTTGTCTCACTTTCCTTGTTTTATTGTCCCATCTCCAAAGCGTTGTGGCTCTGTCAGGGTTGGGACCCTGACTTGTCTCACTTTCTTTGTGCCTGCCGACCACGCCACATCGAATAGATAGATTATCCATATGAAATACTTTATTTTGTTCTAAGTAATCAATCAATTCTGCGCTTCTTGGAGGTATTGAATGTGATTTATTATATTGTCTTGTTATTTTGTGTAATTAGTTGTTCGTTATTTATCACACATTTTCGCATAATTGTACCAAACTACTAAGTATTAGCTGTTTACAGCAATCATCGGTGGCTTGCTATTTTGTTACTTTATCGACGCTTCATAAACCAATCGTTATTGTTTCAAGATGGAGGGTAAATGTGTTGGAGAAGGGTGTCAAGTATACTTCAAGAAACGTAGTGGCAATAAGAACAGAAGTGCACGCAATGTAAATAGTCCACAATATAAATGGCTCCTAGATACGCTGGTGCAACAAGGATTGATGTCAGCAAAGGAACAAGCACTTATTTGCCAGAAGTGCTACATGAAGTATCTTCGGAACAAAAATCAGCCTGAACCTGAACCCGAGCAGAACCAGGAAATAGAGGAAGAAGACGACTCCCCGTCCCATATCCTGCCGTTGCTGACCCTTCATGATCTTTTGAATGGATCATCTTCACACAAAAAATGCTGTCTCTGTCTTGTTACCTTTGCAAGAAATGGAACAAAATCATCAGTCTTACCAAAACGTGCAAGACATCACCTGATCTATTCACACAAACTGTGGTGTCCCACCTCATCCCGCGTCTGCTCCATTCACCTTATTGGTAACGACTTAGATCCGTCTACAGAGGTTGTCCTTGATGGTAGAGGTTCCTTGGAATCTCAGTTACCATCAAAATCGTCCGAAATCATTAATGACCTCCTAGAGGTGTCGCACGTCCTTTCACAGAACCAGTCTGCGTTTACAATAAGCTTTTCTTCTCTTGATGACTCGGCATGCATGGCCTGGACAGGTTGGTCCAAAGATCAGTTCCTCGAAATCCACTCGCACTGTTCCCCATATCTTTCATCTGGTATATATACCAAGACTACACACGATGCTCTATTACTGTTCTGGGTAAAACTGAAAACCGACATTTCCTGGAGTCAGTGTTCTTCTCTTTTTGGAATTTCCAAGTCAAGTGTGTCCAAAACTTTCCACTCCATAGTACAGGCATTAGACACATCGATAGTCCCACAATTTCTAGGTCCGGATCACTTGACAAGAGAACAGTTGCTCGGGCACAATACTGTCTTTTCAGAAGCATTTTTTGGAGATAAAGCCACTGCCATATTAGATGGCACCTATATTTATATCCAGAAAAGCTCCGACCACAAGCTCCAGAGAATGTCCTACTGTGGCCAGAAGAAGAGAAACTATCTCAAATTCATGAGCATCGCCTTACCAGATGGCTACATTCTGGACACAGTAGGACCATTCACTGGCAGCGAAAATGATGCTACAATTACAAAAAAAGTCATGGACAAGCTAGTTACTTGGCTACAACCAGACGACAACGTTGTCGTTGACCGAGGTTTTAGAGATGTCCTACCAGTTCTCGAAGCCTCTGGCCTCAATGCTAGCATGCCGTCATACCTGAAACCCGGTCAAAGTCAACATTCTGACGTCCAAGCAAATCTTGACAGAACTATCACCAAATCGAGGTGGATTGTGGAATCCTATCATGGTCGTCTGAAACACTGGACGTTCTTCCGAACGCAATTGGTGTCTAACAGCTTTATCAATGTCATCGAGGCTTTGCTTCGAACCGTCACAGCCTGTCTGAATGGTATTAGAGGACCGATCTACCAGAGATCTCCAGAGAGAGATGCCAAAGATAGGCTAATGGCTGAACGTATGAAGGACCGTTTGACAACACCGAATGGTTTAGCTCAGAGAGTCAAGACAGATCCGGATCTATCTAGACGGGCAAGGTCCGAGTTTGTCAAGATGGATGCATCTTCCGTACTGTTTCCCCGTCTCGATCTTGATTACTTGAGAACCATTACGTGTGGAACGTATCAGATATCTCTGGCTCCTGGTTACATCGCCGAACATTTAAGTGATGACGGAGACTATGAGGTGTGGCTTTACCAGCACTCCCCAGACCTTCTCCGATGTCAAATACATTCTCGACACAAAAGCCAAACGAAATATAACGTTTGGATACGGTTCACCGTTTCACCCGATGTTGAGGCCCCAATAAAGGACTACTACTGCCAGTGCCCAGTTGGAGAGAGAACGATGGGAATGTGTGCGCACATCTCCAGTATCTTGTACTACCTTGGGTATTACAGGACGCTGGAAAACCCTCGACCATTACAACCACAGGTAAAGAAATTCCGACAAAACTTGAAATAGTTTTCCATGCGGCAACGGAGTGCATATGTCGAAAGTATGTTTGGGGCTCGATATGAAAGATCCCCGTTACCATGTGACTAACCAAACTTATAAATATAGGTATTATACAATCGCCCGTAGCTATGAACACTCCCGTAAATGCGAAAACCAACCAAAATCATAAGGAACACGTTTTGTTTGTTGTTCTGTCTATTTGTCAGCCAATGTCTTCAACCACGGGGACTTGTGAAGTAGCCATCTTGGATTTTTTTTATGAAAAAGTGTTTCTCTCACTTTTTTTCATATCTGTGTACATATTCTCAACATACCGAGCAAATACTCTCGTTTTTTTGTTAATTATCTAAAGAAAGTCGAAAATCGGCAATTCAACCATAGGCTAATTCAACCCAACATTTGAAAATGTTCCACCACTTACATTTTGATGATTTTTCCTCTCATCAATAGCATATTACGTACTGTTTAATAGGATAAAAATTGGTTTGCTTCCAACCCCCATAAAAAGGTGTATTCTCTAAAAAACACAGTTTTTGTGTTTAAAATGTTATCATCGAAAATGGCATTTTTGAGATTGTTTCTTCCATAAAACAGCCAAATGGCGCGATGGAAACATGATTTTTTGTCACAATCATGCCATGAATGTATTCTTTACGGTGACCATCATTTGATTAGCTTTTCATTAATATTTTACATAACATGCACATTTTATCAACACTTAGACAGCTTCTGAAAGGTACAACTTTGAGGAGCCATAAAAAACAAACCAAGTGACCTAAATCTTTATACTTTATAGATTTGTAACCACAACGGCATGGGCAATGCACCACCAACAGGAAATTTGAAAACCGGCCGTTTGTCCTAGTTACATCGATTTTGATTTCTAATCATTATTTTTCTTCACACTTTGATATTTTCTATACTACACTATACTAGAATACATTTTCAGACGTCTTCAGTACAAAGATGGTTGCATGAAGCGTGTTTAAGCTCACCGGGTCCGAAGGACCAAGGTGAGCTTATGACATACCGTGGCGTCCGTCGTCTGTACGTCAACAATTTCTTCAAACAACTTCTTCTTCTTAACCACTGATTGGAATTTAACTAAATTGGACTTGAAACATCCCTAGGTGATGGGAATTCAGCAATGTACAAAGGGTGGGGCTGATCCCCAAGGGGGCTGAGGGGCAGGGCCAAAAGGAGGCCAATATGGCTTATTGCTATAAACGACTTCTTCTCTGGAACTAAGAGATGGACATCAACCATATTTGACTGGAAGCATTCCTAAGTGGTGGGAATTCAAAATTGTACAAATGGTTAGGCTGACCCTCTGGGCTAAGGGGTTGGGCCAGAAAAAAGTTTATTACATGGATACAGTTGAGATACCCACCCTATAACCATACAAATAAACTGAGTATAAAAAGAAGAATGCACATATGCTTCCAGGATGGCCCTGGGGTCTAGCCCCACCCTTGGAGACATCGTCCCTCGGTCATAACTTTGAAGCGGTTGTGATCCCCACCCCAAAACTGTAAATACTGGGCATAGCGAGACGAATGCAGTCATGATATTAGAATTGATCCCGGGATCTGGCCGAAACAAATGTGTGGACGGACAGATGGACGTTCCCCATGCCATATTACGTCCCGTCATTTGTCAATTTCTTTGACAGGCGTATAATGTTTTTGAAGGATTCATTACCTCGCCACAGGCATATGAGGACTGGGGGGTTAGAGAGACGCCGCCTGAAACAGAAAGTAGAAAGTAAAGAAAGAACACAGAAAAGATAGAAAATAAAAAGCCCAAGTGTTGCAAGGACGAAACCACGGCTGACGAAAACCCCAGAATCTGCAGTGTAGAGCATATTCAACGCCTTCTACGATACAAATGCAGTTGGATACAGCGGGTACTTTCTTGATAACCTCAATGTCCCCTAAATAGAAGACAAGGAAGACATCAACCAACCACAATGCTGCAGGGGACACAGGAGTCGCCTCTTACGATCATGCAGTGGTATATAGCAGGCATATCTCTTCTCAGAATTTCCATGGGTTGGGCGTATAATAATAGGGCAAGTGTTATGTTTGTGTTACGTTATTAGGGTAACGCTTCCGTCATCTTAAAAAGTATGGATTATTTTATAAATGATCGTGGTTTCTTAACGTCATTCTAAAATACAACGTCATGTAAATTAATGTTCTCTTGCTGCTTAAACTAATATTTGTTTTACATTTACCTGTCAGCCTGTTTACCGGATGGAATTGTCCATATCCACGGTATTCCAAAGGGATATACGGTGACCAGCCTAATCGGGGGATCAAGGTGTCACGTGACGCAGATTGATGCACATGACTTTGCCTTGGGACAATATTGCACGGTAATTTCAGCAGTCATTTCTATTCTTTGTTTGTGTTGACAGATTTTGCCCTTTTTTATATCTTTTGACATTTTTGCCGTTGTATTCACGACTTATTTCTCTTCTTTCCGTCTTCATCCATGAAAAATGGAATACATTGTATTACAATAAAAAAAAACAAAAAAAAAACCCACAACATCAACATGTACTTTTTTCTTATATAAGAGGTCATCAAACATTTTGTAATTATCAATCCTTTCGAAAAAAAGGAAAGTAAAATTAGAAATTTGTAGAACATGTTCCAGTCTTTTTAATATTTTTGTTTGGATATTTCAGCAATGGGTGTATCATAACTACCCGTATTACAAAAGCATGTACCAGGCGGATATACAGCTCGGTCATTCCTCATCTCATGTCGTCGGAGGAAGTGATTTTAGTCCATTTCGCCTGATTTGTGATAAAGTCCACTCCGGCGGACAGGTGTTCGACGTCGTAACATCTCTTAACGTCAGGGACAGGTATAGTAGATAGTGTTAGCTCAAACAAAAAAAGGAGGTTAAACCCTATACACTCCATCAATCAATCCGTGACAAAATTGTATATTTCATGTGACTTGACTTGGGACGTTTCACTTATTGATAGAGAGTGTATACACACTGTATGGAATTCCCTAAATATCAAAAAGAAGATGACAGGACCAAATAAGAGATAACAAATGCGACAAAGATCAGCAATGTAAGTTCCTATACACGACATCAGAAAACTTTCCAATGTCATATTGCACGGAGAGGGCCTAAGACACTTCCCTGGTATCCACCAAACAGCAATGTACTTGATAACAGGTAATGAAATTCGTCGCAAGCCTAAAATAAACCTTACAGTGCATGTTAGTTAAAAAAAAGATTCCAAATTCAGATTTGCACCATCACTTGGCGTGATTGATCAAGTGTTTGTTAATATTTGATTTGAGATCAAGTGTAATATCCTTGTCACCTTTAAGGATTTGTTCTTATACATTTTTTATACATGCTATCGTCAGACATTCGTTTTTAAATTCCGAAGGACAACATAAGGTGTCTGCGCAAAAGAGAAAATGAAAAAGAATGTTTGGAAGATGAAACTACTAGTAGTTTTCATCTCTTAACAATCAATGGCCTGTCAATTTTGCTTGCATCATAAATGATCGTTCAATGCATTGTTAGTTTGACAACATTCATCTTTTGAGGAAAAACTGACTTTTTGAGAATTTCAGCTGTATGCTTCTACGAAAAACGAATCAAGTGCTCATTTGAATTTTAGTGGTTTTTTGTTGTTGTGATAAGGTTTAGGTCAACACCAAAGAAAATCGAAAATCAAAGGACGGGCCATTTTATGAATATTAATACTACATGACCATGCATCATTGTATTTTGAGTGTTTACAATCCATTTAGGTTTTAGCTCATCTGGTTCGAAGGAACATTGTGAGCGTATGCCGTACCGCAGAGTCCGTTGTCTGTCCGTCCGTCAACTTTTCCTTTAAAACTACTAGACCTGAACAGCTTTATATATTTTGACTAATTGTGACCTTCCAAAGTCTTCAAAACCCTGCTAAAGTGTACCTCTGTACCATTGGAGGGATTTTATCTTTTGGCCTGGAGCATCATTGTGCAAAGGGGACTAAATTTTGTATAAACCGAGGGTTTGGCCCCTTTGGGTGCAGAGGGTCGGGGCCGAATAGGAGAACTTGATGCTTAAATCTTTAAAATTCTTCTCCTTCTGTGCCATTGGAGGGATTTTAGCCAAACTTGGTCCAGAACATCCTTTGGCAAAGGGAACTCAATTCGTTTTAATAATGGGAAGGGGGAACTTAGTTATAAATGTTTAAAATCCTAATCCTTCAGTTTATTTGGAGGAATTTTAACCAAAAGTGTTGGAGAACATCGTGTGGAAAAAGAGGACTCATTTTTTTATAAATGGAGAGTTGCGTTTAGGGGGCAAAGGGGCGGAGTCCAGTAGGGGAAATTGAGGTTATTGCTTAAAATCCACCGCAATTCATGCAGAAAGAAGGGACCTAACGAGGAATGGGTGTTGCTGATAATCAGAGAGAATATTTGAAAATAGTTGTAGTATTATAATTAATCAGAATAATTTTCCATGGTTGTTTTGTTATCCAGGTGAGCGATACTGTGCCTCCCGTTTAATGGAGACGCTGTCATTTCAATTAATTTTTCAGCAGTCAATTTTTGTTACTTTGCTGTTCCTTTTAAAGACAAACTACTTTACTAAATCAAAGTTGAAATAAATATGTAACATTAGTGTAAAAGTAGATGAAACCACTGCGTTGTTTGTACACTGTCCAGTGTATATAAAAACTTCAGGATGAAATTCAACAAACCCCAGCCTCTTGTTTTACGTCAAAATAATTCTTTCACACCAAGTAACTGTTTCAATATCGGTCTTCAAACATTGCACGCATAATTTGTATGAAGTAAGCTTCAAGAGCCAGTCATGATTTGGACGCATTTTCAGCAACCAAAAATAAATATCATTAAACCAAATGCAAAGAGATTAATCTCAATCGTGCTTTATTAAGTTGGTTGATTGCTTTAGAAAAATAAAATAAAGAAATAAAAAAACAGATGCCTAACTTTGGTGATAAGCAGGTGTTAGTCAGTGCTATAACCAAGAACATGTAATATTGCTTAATTAGCTATGTGGATTGATCAACTCACCCACATATGCATACATGTTTACTGGATTTAGATTTAACATAACTTCCATATAACAAAATTACCAGGAAGATTGCAAGTAGGTACTCCCTATCACTACTATTGCAGATATTATGTTATGTAACAATGCTACGTTATAATCTAGTGACAGTTTTTACCTGCCGGTTTATAATTGTGCATGTCCGTCATACTGACAGTTAAAATAACATTCTCAAAATTGCTTCATACTGCTTTGAATCAATAGAAAATATAGCTGAAAAAACTAAATTAACATATTGCTCATTCTGAAAGTCATCATATTGAATGCACTATATATACATTCCTTATAAGTAATGTCAAAGTTCTATTTAAGGAGAATCATTTTCCTATAAAATTTGGGGCTTGTGATTATGAATATATTTTGTTAGGAGCGTGCTTTTTATATTTTGTTTATTATGACAATAAATAGGTGGAAAACATATTCTCCTTTGTAATACGTGATCACATTCGGAAATAAAAATGTTAAAAGTTGATAAATGATTATAATTCATTTGAGATGAAAAACGGCATTTGATTGGTCAATCAAAATAACTGTGTCGGTATAACCACCATAACTGTTGCGTTGTATACCACTGACCCTCTCTCGGCGATGGCGGTTCTATTCATTGGATAGACATACACAATACATTCATTATTTAAAATAAATGCTGAATACTAATAAGTGTCATTCATTATTTTATAAGATGAACAGATTACAAAAGTGTAAATATCAGTATTGACCTGCATTCAGTTCAATGGTTAAATAAAGCCCGGATAGCGATTGTTAATGACGTCGATGACACCGACTGACCCCCAAACGCCTTGGAATTGATTATGTATGACGTCACAATCAGTGGCGTGAACCCGAAAGGTCAATGTAATTCTGCGTTACTTTGAATATTCATAATGTCACCATTCCACGGTAGATTGACCCAGATTTAAGAAAAACGCTCTTAGATATCTTGAATCGTCGTTTCGTGTGGTGCCTTTAGCTTATGTGAACTAAAATGGGGATAACCCTACCGAAATTTTTAGATTTTAGCGATATATCGGGATGATACTGTCATAAATATCCGTGTTTCTGACTCCGCTCCGCGTCGCCATTTTCAAAATACAATAGGATTATCCCCTTATTATAAATATGTGCCGCCCCGACAGAGTTTCGATACCCCTATAGGGCATCCGCTAATTTCTTCGCCAGACCATGAACTACTCGCATTAATATACGCTAACCATTTGTGATGATTGTATTTTTCAGTGAACCTGGTTAAAATTAGAATCATGTTGTATTATACTGCAACAAGATGTGCATAAGAAAAAGGAAAACATGGTGTAAAACCAGATACGCGTGTCCTTATTTACATATACAACATTTTATGTTGTGACGCGGTAAAGATAGTATTGTCACGTGACATACTATGTGATCAAATTGGCAATCTTCGTAGTAAACGAGCATGGAGGTGTATACAAACAGCAGCCGAGAAAGAGTGATGCAATGGGGTCAGCAGATCAATTTTGGTCTCTTCAATCTTTTCTTAGTGGAAAACAAGGAAGAAGTCTTCCCTGTTTCTGCGTTAGTCGCAACTTACGATCATGCAGTGGGATACAAAAGGCCAGCCTTTCCCCGAATCTGAACAGGTTGCTTGTGTCACCCGCCGTCGCGAAAGTGCTCTTGGAATACCTAGAGTAGACCGCCATTAGATCGGCACCAATGGAATGAAGTCCCAAACTTTTGAAACCATAAATAGATGACATCCCAGGTATAATAAAAAGGAAGCAGTACAGGGTCACTTGAACCAAGTGGACAAACCCAATTCAATCAAATTTACCTACGAGGAGGAAAAGGACGGATCCATATCATTCTTGGACAAGCTCAAGGTCCAAAAAGAAATCAGCACCTTCAAACTATTAGTGTACCGCAAACCGACACATCAATCAGTATTTGGCCTTTAACTTGCACCACCTACTGCACAAAAAGTTTGGTGTCGTACGTACACTCCGTGACAGATTAACAACGTTATCACAGAGCAGAACGATAGACATGAGGAAGAACGGCAGATAAAATACGCCACCTTTGTGGCTACTTCAGCTGGTCAATTAAAAAAATGAAAAGCGCTGTAAAAGGGACAGAAAACAAAAAAAAACATAGCAAGAAGAAAAGAGAAATGGGCCAAACAAAATGCAAACGCTGGTCACAACACCCTTCATAAAAGGGACATCTGAGGCGTTTGCTCCAATGATGAGGAAACACGATTTCAGACCGTTGACAACACTCAGACAGTTACACATGCAAACCAAAAGAGAACACTGATATTCTTGGAAAAAGATAGGAGTTGTATATTCAGTGCAAGAAATCTCAGCAGTCATATATAGGAGAAACCGGGAGAAATTTGGAACACGTGTAAAAGAACATCAAAGGGACGTAGAAAAAAGAGCAACAACAATTGTAATAGAAACACGCAAGACATCCACAAACCAAAACAACACCCGAAAGCATATCGTACATTGGGATAATCCAACATATTTGAACGGAACACATACAAAAACGAGACAAAACTAAAAACACGAACTGAGACGAGGGGGACATCACCTAGGTCATTTGTAACTTATTCGATACAGTGTATATACACTATCTATAGGCGAAACGTCAGGTAAACAATACAAACCGCTGACTCAGTTTTAGTTTGACAAAGCAACCAGTCGATCCTGAACCGTTGCGACAAGTTCAATACGTACATTGCAAGTGTATAACGTAAAAGTTTTATTTTCTATTTTTATTTTATACAGGTCGACCTATTTTTCTGATTTTATACCAACACTACCAAGTGCCAGGAAATCAGAAAGCAATCGGATATACCAAACGTCTCCACAACTTTTTATCTCATCCACATATCCCTACTACTACTACTCGGGAAGCTTATTTTATCTTCAGCTTCAGAGCGGCTCATCGCGTATGTAACTATTTTATTTATTTTTCAGTTGACATGCCGATATTGTGACAGTATATCTTACGTTGACATATATTCACACTTCATATACGATCAAGTGTATTTTTTGTAATTAAAGAGGCAAGTTCATTTATCTCCTTAAGCTTTACAGTTCATCAGTTGTACATATATACAGGGCAACATAAAGTAAACAATTAAACAACAACACACATACACACCACTTCCGCACCTTCTCCTAGAAGTGTAGAGAGAGATCTTGCACTGCTAAAAATGATGTAATTAATAATAGAATAATATTTGACGAAAAGGTTAAGCTAATGTTTTACTGACAAAAACTAGATACAATTGACTTAATTCAGTACATTTTGTCGTCTTCTACTAGCTATTCTTACATATTTGGCCAAATTAGCTACTTTATTTCTTTTTTATTTTCTGTGGAAAACAACTTAATGAATGTTTACATACGTGTATGTCTGATATAGAAAGGTTTTATAAATGAATTGTTTCATCGGATTAAAATTGATATTTAAGAAAACATGAAATGCGTCTTTTACATCATAGAGGCATATTAAGAACAAATTAGAAGCAAATTGCAGAGTCTACGGGTATGCCAGTATACCATAGATCTTTGTGCAGTCATATTCAAGAACTCGGCAATTTTGAATTGCTCAGTGTTGCTTTTTGGGAAAACAATTTTAAAACTGGTCAACTACATGTTAAGAGCTGTTGAAGTTTATGAAAATAATGGAAAGTACAAAAAAGCAAGTGCAAAAAAGCAAGTGCAAAATTTTATAATCCTTGTTTCTTCGTTATTTGTAGATTACGCGATACGGCCAGAAAACTGTACTGCCAGCGCTAACGATCCACGATATTATTATACATCAGGAGATTCGGTTGAATTATGGGATATTACAAAGGATAGGTATATTTATTGTACAATGTATTACAGAGTGCTTCGCCCGCCTATTCAGAGGCGCTTACAATTTCATTATGATAACATTAAGCTTAAAATAGTACATGCATGCATGCCATATTGCTTAATACACTGTAATTCTGCACAAAACCTTTCGCCATAACATGAAAATATATTTGCGCTTAAATGAGTGTTCATCAGTTGCCTCACCGTGAAATGAATATTTAAAAAAAGTATGTATGGGAGTTGCTGTTTTATTTTAAACATAAACTACGAATGATGTTATTTTTAGAGAAAACTGGATAACGATATGTTAATCAGAACAAAGTTTGATGATCCATTTTTGTGCATTTCATCCTAAAACCCTCTGTTGAAATATATATTAAAAGTAGATGCGTCAATTCAAGAAGATACATCTTACTAAAATATAGACGTCGCCAATGGTGAGGTAATATTACCACCACAATGGGTCTGTATTCTTTTCAGGTTATGCCTTCATATTGCATTTAACTAAGCAATTTGACTTGATTATACTAGTATTGAAATGATTTAAGGCAGGGGTACATTCTATAATCGTATTTCTCTTTTACTCGATTTTTTTTACTGCGTTCACCAAAATAACGGCTAAATAGAATATACGGCCGTTTTTGGGCACCTTCATTTCCGGAATATCTCATCACTAGTATGAATATTGTATTTCTGCAGCAAAAAAAGGGTTAGGGGTTAACCACAAATTTCAGTTGTTTTCCGTAACTTGACATTAAAATACCGTTGGTTTAATTAAAGCACAAGACTATCTTCAAATGGAAATGGCTACAATTTCACCAATATTATAAAAGATGAAGCCCTCGTATATGTTTTTTTCCCTTTCTTCACTTTGAAGTTTTATTTATTGATTGGATTGAACAACATCTGATATATTTATTCCAATGACACGGCAACATGAAATTCATTTCAAAGAAATACTGTTTATTGTTTTTAGATTTCCCTGTTTCCTGATGTTAGATGTTAGCACTGGCAATATTACAAGATTGAACCTTGTCTCGAACATGAACAAAATTATCACTTATATTTGTATTGAAACGAACACTAGGTTTGATATAATGTCAGGGTAGGGGGAAATCATGAAATTATTTCCTCTATTAAGAAAGTTATCACAATTTTTTTTTTTATTATATTTTCATTTTTTTTGTAATTGTACCTAGATGTGTGCTGGAGCCATATCTAATGGAAAAATTTATCAGCAGCAATGCCGACCAAACTGAGGTCGCTGCGCCAGTATATGCATTTCACTTTGGAACTCGTGGAAACTACGATCACACAGTCTATTTTGAGTGTTCTGTTCGTGTGTGTAGTCGTGGATCCTTCAGCTGCAGTTTGGTAAATATATTTCTCAATGTGACTGCGTTTGTTTCTTAGCGCCGCCCTCATTTTGCTTGCAATGTCACATTAACATCGTGACAATATCACGTTTGATTAGGTAGGGTTTTCAATTTTACATGCGTGATCAGTTAGGGTATTCAATTTTACACGTGTGATCAGTTAGGGCAATCACTTTTTCACGTGTGATCAGTTAGGGCATTCGATTTTTCACGTGTGATCAGTAGGGGCATTTAATTTCACACTTGTGATCAGTAAGGGTATTCAATTTTACACGTGTGAAGGGTGGTATTTATTTCAATTTTAAAAAAACAATTTCGTCATTTCATATCCAATATCCAATCAATTTACCGAACTAACACTTTAAGACCGCAGAATAAAACTTGCCCTGCAATTCAATGTTAAACAGTTCATGGCCACGTGTAGTGATTCAATGCAGATTATATATATATATCTGTTTTAAATTGAAAACGTATGTACAGAAAATGTGTAAATACCTATATAGAGAATAGAATATAGCGTTTTAACTTATTGTGCAAAATGTAAAATGATCAGGTTTTACCCATTTTAACATTTTAGCTTTTAATGTGTGTGAGGTCTTGTGCAAGTTTCTTTTTCACGTTAAATACTTGCTATTATATTGTGTTGACTTTCAGTCAACAAGGAGAAAATTTCTATAACAAACGTTACATGTCTTAAAATTCTAGTCGAAAAAATAACTGTCTACATTTGAGGCTATTTGAAAGCTGTCGATCTTTTTAATAAAATATGAGTCATCATAGCCGCTTTCAATGTTCAAATTGACGTTATCTTTTACCTTTAGGTTTGTTTGATGTTTTTATTTTGCCTTTGTTTTTGTAGACCATTTATTGGCCCTAATGACCTCTCCTATGTTGATGTGGCGTTAAGCATGTAGTAGTAATAGTAGTTCACGTTTAAGACCCAAAATGACCTTCTTTTGTCGAGGAGCGGTTAAGCCTAAACAAACAAACTGGGGCTTATGTAAATTATTCTACATCAATCTACTTCGATTGGATATTATTCATGATAAATAATTGATCTAGCAAAATCCTTTCCATATAATTAAAAATTACAGGTAATTTACGACACAGTTTTCCACAATTTACCCCAAACAATTAATTGCAAATCTGTGCAACTTTATTTTAACGAAATAAATCACAGGTTTCGTGTAATGAAGACGGTGCGTCATTTTATATCAGGTATAATGTGTTTTAGAACGTTTGTGATGACGTAAGGCGTGAAGGAAGGAGTGCTGAAGAGGAGGAGGACGACGACTATGAACACCACCTTGTGACAGGGACACTGACATTAGAGCACAATGCCAGTGGCTCGGACAGAGGTAAGATAGGCGTTGTCTACAAAATAACTCTCTGAGAACAGTAAGGAATATATGTTGAATGTAATAAATTAGAAAAAAGTGTTAGTAGTTTCCACTTCAGTAAGTTGCTCACACGAGTCACGTCAGGTGGAAAGTCCGATCCTTTTTGATAGACTTTGTCAATTTACATATTTTGTCACATTTTATTATTGCTTAACTAATAAACAACTACAACATAAAATTTGACTTACTGATTGACATCTATGTGTTTTATTTTGTCATTTTCTTTTTCTATTCACATATCTGTATATTAATACGTATATGCTTTGTGAAGTTTACAACCATTACATTATTTATACCACTATTGATACCATTGTATGATAATGCAAGCCTTTTATTTTCGGGTAGACGCATGGATGACTTTAACCTACGTAGCGGTTGCCGAAATGAATTGCTATTTAGATCTTTGTTTTGTCTCTTAGGGAGATTCTCCCTCTTCACAACTCTACTGGGTGTTGTTGCTGTGGTATTGTGCTGGTAGTGTCTTTTGCCTGTGACACCAAAAAACCTGACATGGGCTGGGAATGGTAGTATATTCATATCCATACGGTCGGCAATGAGACCACGTGTACTTTTACGGAAACGACTGATTCCTTTGATAAACTTTGTCAATTACATATACTGTCACATTTTATTATTGCTTAACTAATAAACAGCTGCAACATTAAATTTGACTTACGTTATCTATATTTCTTTCTTTATATAATCTTTGTTTATTCTGTCGCACCTTCCAACTTCCAAAATATAACATTTTTTGTTTTATTTTTACGATGAGCTTTTATTCCGCAGCAGAAAAAATAAATAATGGATCAAGTGACTTTGGGAGGCCACCCTCTGACTGATATAAAATTAATGTCATTAGCATGGATTATGGTATGCATAATACATGATTTTGAAAACAAAATAAAACATAATAATAGTCTGTCTCTTAATCTTATTTGAAACGACAATATGACAGCCCTGACTGATTTAAAATTTGATGAGTAATAGAAAAAACGTGATAGGGGTGATAACAAAAGGTTTAGAAAAATTAGGTTGTTTAGCACGAAAACTGTAGCGAAAAACTGCATTGTTTGAAGTGAAAATATATACCAAATTAATGGAGTATTCAATATTTAAAAGATGCGTCCTATTAACTTAAGGAGATATTTCTTATTGATATATATATATATTACGTTTTACCGTACTTGTCATCAGTTGTAATGAAAACCAGGGGTATTTGGGTGTAAATAAACAACCCAAGGTCGACATTTGATTTCGAACCAGTGATTTTAATGTATGAACTCTAGCAAAACATCTGTATTATGCAAATTTGAAAGGGTTCTGCACAAAGCATTTATGTTGAGAGATAATCTGAAAACAAATTAAAATGTATGAACCAACAACAATGCATTCTCCTTCAATACATTATTTTTTATTAATATAATATATCATTAATGATGTACTTTAATTCAAATACATGTCACCTTTTAAATAACTAGTATATCATTATGATGTACATTCATTCAAAATACATGTCACTTATTTGTTTACACATGCAAACTGCCGCCCTGGCAAGCATGTATTGTATATGTATGGATTGTATTAATATCCTGTACCTACAAGTTGTAAACTTTTGGAAATGAAATGAACATTGAATATTGTAGATAAATCACAGCCTGCAACGATACAAAATACAAGACACTTGCTACACTTACACATATAACAGATACGATTACAATCTGGCAATTATAAAATTAGCTGTACAGTACGTATGTTTAACCGTGAATGATATTTTACGAAACAATGAACTGTAAATAGAAGATACACTATTTCCTTCTGTATAAGTTACAATATAAATAATAATTTACTTTTAAACATATATCATAAGTGTATGGCCTATTGACATTTTCTTTTAACGTAATTTGCAAATGGTGAAAACACTATTACGGGACATTAAAAAGGATATATACATACATGGATTTATAATGAAATAATCACCTTTGTGTGACAGAGGGTCTTTACTATGATGTCCAGCTCATATACGTCTGTACAAGTATTCAAGTCTGTAAACACAAACGATACAAATAATAAGATATTGAATATATACACAATCGTACCGGCCGGGCAATGGCGGTCACTTTTTAAACCCCGCGTATGCACTTGCTCGTGGAAAATTCCGCAAAACGCCGGGCAGGAAAAAGGGCAAATATACTAGATGGACAGGTTAGTTTATAAATCGAGAGAAATCGAGTTGATACCTCACTTGTTCTCTTGACACTCTTGTCGTTGTCGTCGTTCTCTCGTCTACCTATCTATACTGGACCTAATATTACACAACATGACAAATAAATTTAATAAAATTCAATCCTGCAAATAATTAAGCAAATAAAGAAACAAGACGAAACTTTAGGAAATATCCTATAAACACAAGTACAGATAGCCCATTAAATCCTAATTATATGAGGTTTCTCAATTTCATTTTAAGATATATCCTTTAATACTTATATGAGATGTCTTTTTAAATTTAAGCGAGACATCTGTAGGTGTAAACTATAATTAAAGATGTCCCTGTTACATTTAGAGATATATATGTGTTATCAAATTATAATAGATATTTTATTCATTCAAATATATCTCTATTTCTTTAAGAGATATACATCTTAATCTAAAGTGCACTGATTTATTATGTTAATTTGAATTGGCGTTCAATATAGTTGATAACTTCAGTTGATGTCCTTAACTCATTCGCCCCTGGAATTTCATAATGAACTATTCCAACCTGTGAATTGGAAGAGTGCAAATGTGTCTTCAGGGTTGAATGAGTTAATGACAATCGAAAACAGCAAAGGGCTTAACCTGGAACCCTGTGGAACCCCAGCTATGATAATTGCTAAATCAGATTGTTTTCCATTTTTCTGCTAGATAACTGAAGTACTCGGTAATGAAGCGTAAAACCAATCAATCAATCGCTCGGTTTGTTTACCGTTGATAACAACTCGTTGGAAGCAATCGTGTTGGTAGCTCGAATGCCAGACGAGTATTTTCTGAAACACCGAAGGTTTCTTAGGCTTCGATGCCACACTCGGACAGACGTTTTGTCACAGAAAACATGTTGAAATTCTGTGCTCTTATTTTTTTGTAAAGCATCTTAAATGTTAGAAATTTAATGAAGTTAGTTACACGTGGAACCACTAGATATGAATCCAGAATGGCATGGAGACGATCGGGACTTATTAAATAGTTGTAAACATACTTACATGCGAACATGTTCATCGTTTTGTCAATGGTAGTTTTTAGCCCACCATCATTTGATGGTGGGCTATTCAAATCACCCTGCGTCCGTGGTCCGTCCGTCCGTCCGTGGTCCGTCCTTAAACAATTCTTGTTATCGCTATTTCCCAAGGAGTACCAGAGGGATCTTTCCTAAATTTTATATGTAGATTCCCCTTGGTCCCGTGTTGTGAAGGACAACTTTTGAGTCTGATCGGATAAACAACATGGTCGATAGGCAGCCATCTTGGATTTTGATAGTGAAGGTTTGTTATCGCTATTTCGCGGGAAGTACCTGAGGGATCTTTCTCAGTTGGGCAGGGCAACTTTTGAGACTGATCGGATAAACAACATGGCCGATAGGCAGCCATCTTGGATTTTGATATTGAAGTTTTGTTATCACTATTTCTCAGGAAGTACCTTAGGGTCTTTCTCAAATTTTATCTGTAGGTTCCCCTTGGTCCCTAGTTGTGCAGGGCAACTTCAGAGACTGATCGGATAAACAACATGGCCGACAGGCAGCCATATTGGATTTTGATAGTGAAGATTTGTTATGGCTTTTCTCGGGAAGTACCACAGGGATCTTTCTCAAATTTTATATGTGGTTTCCTTTGGTCCTTCGTCGTGCAGGGCAACTTTTAAGACTGATCCGATAAAGAACATGGCCGACAGGCAGCCATCTTGGATTTTGACATTATAGTTTTGTTATCGCTATTTCTCAGGAAGAACTGGAGAGATCCATCTCAAAATATATATGTGGGTTTCCCTTGGTCGTTAGTTGTGCATATTTAATTTTGAGACTGATTGGATATAAAAAATAATAGGATGAAGAAGTGAAGATGAGTTGTCGGTTTGTCTAGTAGGTTCTGTTATTATATTTGTTAACTTATAATAAGAGAGAATATCATGAAGATACCCTCTAATAGTTTTTAGAAAGTCTACATTCAAATCACCTGTGATTATTAAATTTGGAGTTTCTTCAAATGCAATATCTATCGAGTGACGCAGACGGTGCCATAGAACAGTATCATTAAGGGAGGGTGGTCTATAAATATTACAAAGTCAGTTCTACGCTTAGCAAAGAGAGATTTAGAGAAATAAATTGCAACATCCCCACCAAACATATTTCTATCTTTGCGAAATGGTTCAAAGAAGACATCAATGGCGATTTGTGAATTTGATATAGAATTATCTAAATGTGTTTCAGTTAAGCATAGGATGTCAACATCCTCTGTTATAGTACACAAACATTTAACGTTATTTCGTAAGCTCCGAATGTTTTAATGGAATATGCTTAGAGCACTGATTGTAGAACTGCTATCGGGATTGGGCCCTGGATTTGAGTGTATATCACCAGTTATTAAAAACAAATATTATAGCTGAATTAAATGGGTTGAAGTAAAAAAATTGGAAGAATTTCTCAACTGCATTTTACTACTAACTTATCTCCCCTAGTTTAGAACTTAGGCTAGAATCAGACATCCAAGTGACCAAAAATAAAAGAGTTTTTTATTCTTTCTAAATTATTCAATATTCTAGAGACGGGGCCAATCTAGGGTTGAGCACGAATGGGACAACTGCAGTAATAAAAAACAGACCTGATGGAGACAGAGTAATCGGATGAAGAATCAAAAGGTAACTCGTTTGGTACCTTGGTGAGCCATGGGAGTGCCGACAGAAATCATAGCTTGCTCACGGGTAATAACTAAACTCTCGTCGCTTACCTGGGCATGTGTGGTAGCTCCAGCGCATGCCATGATAAGTCCGTGCAAATCCTTTGTTAGAAAAACGTATCACAAGGTAGACAACAGAGATATAAGGAGGTAGTCACTTCGAATGGCTGGATCGTGTTTATTGATAACATATATGATATTAGCCCACTTCCTTGGCGATGGTAACTAACATACAGCGAGACAGAGGTTGGGTAAAATTCGAAGTGGATATCTAAAAACATCAGCTGTTTCCTGTATAAAAGATCCCTGTCCCAGTACACTGGGTTTTCATATATAGCCAAGACGAAATTAAGGGGAGATAACTGTTTAACTGTAGCACAGTTGGGTCAGGACGCTTCCATTGGCCGGGTAGCTGATCAGTCAGTTAGAGCGATAGTATAACAATCTATAGTTCGAGGTTAGAATCCCGGTCTGGCGAGCGATAGTATAACAACCTATAGTTCGAGGTTAGAATCCCGGTCTGGCACTGCTCAATGTTAATGTCCCGCAAGTTATAGTTTTCCATTTTTTTTTAGAAATGATTTATTAAAGGTTTAGTCATACTAGGGGGAAAACGTTTCTTATGCGTATTTATATATTTTTTTTGTCAGGGGTACAGGGATCCTTAGCAAGCGTTTATCAAATGATGGCGCAGTGGATAGCGCACTCCATTTCACCAAGACGGCCTGGGTT